TGGTGGGGGGGAGCAATCTGGTGACAATTATCCAAATTTAAAGATGAGTATAATTTATGATATAGCAAGTTAACATTTAGGAATCTACCATATGGACTTACCCTAAGGATGCAGACACATTGGTACACTAAGATACAAGTACATGGATTTGTTTGTCTGTTTGGTACATGTGGTGCTGGGGAGTGAAGCCAGGGGCCTTGCAGATGTTAGGTAAGAGCTACACTTCCACACTCCACTATAGGGATGCTTGTAGTTTAATTTAATAGCATTGTTTGACACGATAAACAAGAGTGGAAACAAAAGGGATTGATATAAAATTATAATATACTCATGAGAGGAAATATTACATATCTGTTAGAAAGAATGAAGTACATAAGTAGTTACATCCTACTGAAAAGTGAAAAAAGCAAGTTATAAACTTGAGCTAGAGAATGATCCCATTTCTCCCCTTCTTTATGCCCACAAGGAGAATTCTCAGCTTTTCCTTCTCTTTATTCCTTCTCATTCCTACTCCCCTACTTGCTACCATACTAGGCATATTTAACAGATTGATTGGGGACTAAGTCTTCCACCACAAAGATGAGGAGAAGCAGAAAGTATGGAAAGGTGGAGGAAGTGGACAGTTTTGAAGGGAAGAGTTGTGAGGGTATGAGAGTAGCTGGATGAACAGTAAAAAGAAGGAGGGAAATAGGGGCTTTAAAGAAATAACAGTATATTATAAACACAACCATTGTTTATGCTCTTTGAAAGACCCTGAAAAATGTTAGGATTACTATCTCTCTCTCTCTCTCTCTCTCTCTCTCTCTCTCTCTCTCTCTCTCTCTCTCTCTCTCTCCCCCCCCCCCAGGAAAAGATGGAAGATATATATAGTCATGGGGAGTTTTAGAATATATTCACACTGGCCATTCACAGAAAATTTCAGTAAACAAACTTATAGCATTGGTTATTTTTAGGGAGTGGGAAAAAAGTCTGGATGAGAGTGATTTTTACCTTTATCTGGTATAGTTGCGTCTAAAAAGTCCCTCAAAGGCACAGGGGTTAAAGGCTTGGTCCTCAAGGTAACACTAATAAGACAGTGGGACCTTGAACAGATGGTGCTTAGTGGGTAAACTCCTGGTATTGGGAGCATGTCCTTGAAGGGAACTATGGGGCACCTGCCCATTTCTCCTCCTCATTCACTCCAATGCCATGAGGTGAACTGCTATTTGCTCAGTCACAATCTCCCACCATGATAGTCTGCTTTGCCACAGGCCTGAAACCAACAGGGTCAACTGATCATAGAATGAAACTTCGAAAACCCTGAGCCAAAATAAACCTTTTCACTTTATAAACCATTCATATTAGTCATTTGCTACTGTGTTATAAACTATCCTTTAGAAAATACCCTTCCCTGGAAGTTTCAACTATTCTCACAACAAAAATAAGCAGAATATGTGTGAACATACTGAAAGTCCCTTACCCGAGAAAGCCTCTGTATCTACTTACCACTCTCCAGTTCCTAGAAAATTCAAGTTTAATTAGTACTAAACCTAATATGCAACTTCATTTAAAACAACTTGTGCTCAGTTTTGCTTTTGTATTTCTGTCTCTCTCTCTTTTTAAAATTTACAGCATACCTTGGTGATATTATAGGGTGAGTAGATATTCCTGAGCTGGTCTACGAACTCCCCATGATAGATAATACTATCTTTAGGAGGAAAATGCATTCCATGTAGTAAACCATTTTTTGGCAAGCTTTTTTTAGAACCTGAGCTATCTTATGATTAAGATTTGACTGACTTAAACTTTTATATAATAAAAGTTATTAAAACTTAAAATTATTTTCATTATGTTTAGTGTGTTTAAAGTGAAAGGACATAGCAATACTTGTATACAACATTGGACACATACATACAGTTACTTTCAGAAGACATATTATCAGCTAATACTAAAGACTACACATTTCGTTGTACATGAATTATTTCCAACATGCTTTTTGAAACATAAAGAATTAAATTGTATCATAAAAACCGAGTAAAATCCATTGAGTAAAAGTAAATGACAGGGTAGCAGGAAGGATGCTGAGAGCAGTGATTTGGATAGAAATGGAATATGGACCCCATGTCCTTTAAGATCAGCAGCTAAACTTTAGCCAAGGTCGGAGTGACAAAGTGCTTGCTGGAGAATTGACCTCAATCTAGGTATTGGAAACAGTATATTAACATTGTAAAACTGTTAGAGCAGATGGCAATGAGTCACCTCTTGGTAACCCGTGCCTAGCTAACAGTCCACGTCCTTGGTGAAAGTTGAGCAAAACACCCACTTGAACTAGCTGCAGGTCACCCATGGAGATGGTTGACAGCACATAGTGTAAAGTCCCTCACGCACACAAGAGGGACAAACACCAGCTGCCAGCTTCCACATTCCTAGCTCACATTCTAAGACTGTTAGAGCGTGTACAGGGCATCAAATGGTTGTGCACAATCCTCACTTTCATTTTTGCCTGAGCTAAAGGTAAAAGGACAAAATATGAGGGCACCTAATGCTCCTGTTTCTCTTTGTTGGTTCTGGATTGTTTATAGTCTTTTCCTTGTCTACAACTTTGTCAGCAAATGGTTCAACTCTCATTCATTTGAAGTGGATCAATGCAGCTCATTGCTTAGCAACTCCTTAACAAGCCCCAGGGAAGAGAAACTGGGGGAGGCTGGGAAATTTGTCACCAGTATAAGAACAAAGTTCACATTTACAGAGATAATGTGACCTGCCAAACACCAGAAAAAATATACCCAAACATTTTCTGAACATATGGGGTACGTATATTCTGGAGGACTATGCCTCATCTATAAGAAAGACCTCTTTGACTCAAAAGTTGGTCAGTCAGACTGCCAGTTAATTAAGGGGTAAGTCGGTGCTTTGCAGAAGGCTTGCTAGGATACAAAAATAGGTGCAGAATGGGCATCCTTGAAGGTGTGTGGCCTTCTTTATGTAAGTGTGCACTGATTTAAAATTGCTGTGCTTCAGTGTGGTCTGAGCAAAACAGCCTGGACTCAAAAGGAAGGGAAGATGGGGCAGGAAGGGTTGGCAGCACTTGCCAGGAATGTGGGGCCAGCTGCTGCTGAGGTGGCCTGGAAGGAGGCCTTTCTGTCTGCAGCTCCTGGCTGGAGTCCATCCACTCTCCCAGCAGCAGTTTGGCTTCCTCGGCCAAGAGTTCAGAGAGTTAACGCCAACCATCCCCGATCTGCCTCACATTGCAACACCAAGGCTCTGAGAATGAAGCTTTATCTCTCTATTCAATTCATATTTTCTGAGAACCCACAAGATTCATCATACTGAATAGATATTTCACTGCTCATGGGAAAGTCTACAGTCTCAGCCCTCAAGGCAATCTCTTATAAGTTTGATTAAAGCTGACTCACAGTCTGGATTCCAAAGCTGTTCACCCACAAGGCAGTGAAAGAAACCACCTACAAAAATCTGAAAATTCCCTCAGGGTCATGCTGGTACCACAGCAAATGGTTCAGCTGGCTTATGACCTCTGCCGTTCACCTGGCTGATGGGGCCTTTGTCATCTTCAGGTTCCTCTCTTCCTGCACCAACTCCTGGCCCAGGTCTGGATTTCTGACCAAGTGCTTCATTTCTGGCTTTCTACCTTTGTCTGCATGAATATCCTAGACCCTGGACTTGCTTCTTTTCCTACAGTACAGATCCTGGCAATGGTGCCCCACCCCAAGTTGTCTCCTGAGGCAATTCCTCCAGTAGGACAGGGATGGCATGGGGTGCTGTCTCCCTCCCTCCTTCTGCTTCACTTAGAGCCACCCCTCTGCCTGTTTTCCATGTTGCAGAGGTCTAGACCTGGGTGTTCCTTCTGCTTGGTCCCTTGGGCTGATACTGTGCTTCCATGGTCTGCAGAGCTGGGAAATTCAACATCTTCCTAGAATGGTACTCCTGCTTTCCAGGGACTGCCCCTGCTCTAGTGTCAAGTGCTTTCAAGGCACCTTGTTAAAGTGACCTTGTTCTGTGCTGGAGACTGGGTTATTCCAAACTCAGATTATAGTTCATATGTTTCTGTGCCCTCTTCCTTGGACTGATCTTGGTTTCCATGTTCAGACTTGTATTTTTAACCTGGCAAACTAGAACCCCTCTCACCAGAGCCAACCCATCAGCCCTTGACTCCAACTCTGCCCTCCCTCCCAAAGCTCCTCTGAGTTACAAGAACTTATGGGGCAAAACACCCACCCCTCACTCTGGAGGAGCTAAACCAACAGTTGCTTCATTAGACTCAATGACAGCCTGAGCAGGGTGGTGTCCCTGCTCTTAGGCCTAGATCATAAGGTGGCTATGAGAGCAAGATTCAGGTGAAAGCATTCTGGGAAACATAAGGACTGAAAAATGGAAAGGACTGTCATTATTGCCAGACTCAAGATTACACAGCAGCCATTCTCACTGGGACCAGTGTTTGGTAAGGCTAGTGACACAATGTCCCAAGCCATGTGCTCCTCTCTGGTACCTTGTGCTTGCATCTGTCACTGTAAGCACACACTGTACCATAATCATCTGCTCCACATTGAAGATGTCTAACTTAGTCTCTGTCCAACCACCATGCCTGACATAAACACACAGTCAAATGCACAAAGGAATGAATAAAATGGGGTTTGGTGTTACACACTGAGAAGCAGCTAGGAACACCTGATATGAAATGGCAATCAGATAGAATCCACACTCTTCTTTTTTTTTTTTTTTTTTCTTTTTTTGGTACCAGATATTGAACTCAGGGACACTCAACCACTGAGCCACATCCTCAGCCTATTCTGTATTTTATTTAGAGAAAGGGTCTCACTGAGTTGCTAAGCCCCTCACCTTTGCTGAGGTTGGCTTTGAACTCTCAATCATCCTAACTCAGCCTCCTGAGCCACTGGGATCACAGGCGAGCATTACCACACCCAGCAGACCCCACATTCTTGATCCTTTGCCCAACAAAAAAATATTCTAGCTTGTGCTCTGGCTGTCTCCCTGGGACTCACCGGTAGGGTTCCATGGTCCGAATCCCATAGAAGAGCGCCTCTTCTAACAGCCCGAGGTTGATGCAGGCGTCCATGGCACAGTCGAGCACCTTCAGCTGGTAGATGTTGATATCAGGAAGCCGTTCAGAGTTGCTGCTTATGATCGCCTGGCACGTGGCCAGAACCTGTTCCCATTCTGTTATTAACCTTAGTTAAGGATTCATTGTCTTCATGGAGGAAAAAACAAAAGCAAAATGAGACTCTCAAAAAGGATGAAGAGCGCCCAGGCACAGGAGGGAAGGGAGTGCCCATTATTTTGCACAGATGAGCTGCCTGAAAACATTCTTGAGAAACAAAAACATGTAAGTGGCATCTCAGCAAAGTAAATTCTGTTTACATCAACAAACCATCTTCTAACCAAGCCTATGCTTTGGAAGATTAAAATTGCCAAAGAACAGTTCTTTCTTCACACTCCAACATGGACTCTCTTTAACTAGTCCTGAAGTGAATGAAGCTGCTAATTAAACTGGATTAAGATTTAGTTCCATATATAACTATTTATTACTTCATTAGCTTCTGTTTAAAAGTTTATTTGAAATTAAAGAAGATTTAAAGAGATTTCTTTTGCAAAAGGAGGAGCATATGTGTGCTTCTGTGCTGTGTGAGTCTTTGGCATACATGAAACAAAACACACAACTCATAGGCACATGCTATGGGCAATAATGCAAAGAAATTCATTTCCAATGTATCTTATATTTATTTTTCTTATAAAGCAAAAGTGACCCAAACCTAAACTTAACCAAATAAAGTTATTCTTATTTGATGAAATAAAAGCATTAAGAACATGGTTTATGCATATAAACCAAGTGAGGAGAAATGCATCTTTAATGAGGACAAGAGACCCAGTACCTGCTTCTGAGCAATACCATCTTTCCGATTAACCATGAGTCAACAACTGAACCTCATGGAGCCTCAGTGTGATCTCACTTTCTCTCTCTCTTTCCTTCATTCATTCATTCAAGAGTAGAGGGTCCTGCTATGTTGCCCAGGCTGATCTTGAACTCCTGGGCTCAAGTGATCCTCATGCCTCAGCCTCCTGAATAGCTGGGACTTCAGGCATATGCCACTGTGACCAGCTTTTAACTTTATCTTTTCAGTCAGAAAATATCAGAGGCAGCAAGAGGATGGAAGATGTGGTGTACTGAGCGTACCTTGAATCTCTCCAAGGTGAATTACCTCAGGAGCAGAGCGGAAGGCGGGATTGTGGGGCCCTGGGACCTCTCACAGTTTCTCTGCTACGCTGCTGTATTTGGCCTGGCAGAGCCGAGGAGGATATTATGTTGGCATTGGCCCTTCTCCCAACCCGATTCTACCTTCAGCCAGCATAACTCTGCATTCATCTGCTTTCATGTTGGGATTCCAGTTGGGGGGAAATGTTTGAAGATTTCAGAAACAGCAGAAATGGCATAGCCTTTGATCAGCGATAAAGCTGGATTCAAATCTAAGCTTGTTCTGTCATTTGTCAGATTTGAGGTTCTGAGAAGTCCAAGTGCTTTGAGATTGGCTAGAAATAGAAATGCCTAATATCGTTTTAATTATTTAATAAAATACTGTAAATAAATTGGATAGAGTCTTCATGTGTGCTACCATGAGCCGGACAGAGCTCCATGCATTATGGACACAGAGGGAAAACACCTATTGGCATGTACAATGCTACACAGATATTATTGCATTCCTCTGTCTTTTCTGTCAGATTTCTGAGCAAGACTAGAGTTAAGGAAAAGGGACAGAGAACCTGGTTTGATGGAACTTCCCCCACTCCTACCTCTCCATTCCCACAGGATCCAGTCTCTTGGCAACCCAGCCATCTGTGCTCCAACCTTGCCCCCAACTCCAGCCCTCTTCTCTGACATCCTGACACTGCAAGACCCACCCTGAACAGAGAGCCCACTGGGAACATACTCCTTTATTCCTCTCTAGCAAAATCTACCTTTCCAGTGTCCATACGCTTCAGACACTGCTTCCCAAGACTTCAGAAACTGCTTTTACCAAACCAATCAAGCCACTTGTATGAGTGGGCACCAATAGCTTTATGAACCCTCACAGGAAACATATTTCCTTTCAGCTAAGGCAGAACACCCTACCCTGAGGCATGACTTCGTTAGTGGGAATTTAAAGCCTGATAGAGCTTGGCTGAGGGCCCTTTATGTCATACCCTTATTATTTTAGGACAAGTCCTGCTCTAAGGAGTTGACTCTGGTCCCATAAGAGGTATATTTATTGAAGAAAAATGAGTTAGTGATTTTCTTTTGTATTCATCTGACATGGATGTTTAAAGTTTGCTGAATGTGTTCCCCAGGGACTGGGGGGAAGCGTATCTTAGGCAATGCACTGATTTTGTAACAGATTGCCTGGCTAACCTCTGTGGCTTTTCATTCCAGGATTAGATATTTGAGGAACTGTCAGGAGGAATGATTGTCTCTTATACAACACTAGACATTTCTGTGGCGAGACTTGTACCTTATTTTAACAATGTATTGCATGACCTCCACTGTTATTTGCCTATTAATTTCTATGTGTTCCAACTCATTCTAAAGAGGTTTGAGGTGACAAGCCTTAGCAGCTGGAACCAGATGTGATGTCCTGCAGCCACTCACAGGAATACATCCACTGCATTTCCCTGCGAGCTAGGAAGAACTACCTGTCATTCCCCTCCACAACCCTGGCAATCATCTCCTGGCAAGGAGAGGCAAAACCTTTCCTAGAAAACACCCCAGTGAGAGCAAAAAAGAGAGAAAAAAAGAGAGAATAACTTAAACTTTTTTTCTCCAAGTTAATGTGATGTGTATTTGCTCAAGGATTTAGTCTCTGGCATCTGCATGTTTACTATAAGTCACTTTATTCACAGTGAGCCCTGGACCGAAGCAGGGCTAGGTGGCCGAATCAAAGAAAATGGATCACCAATAAGCAGGATAGATACTTTACTTTTAAATAATCATAAAAGGATTAGGGGAAAACAGCAAAGGGAGCCAAGTCAATTCATTTGGGAATTAATCAACCTCTTGAAACTCTTAGACTGTCAGACCACAAAGCTCTTACCTAATTATATTACTGTCCTGCGTAAAACCACCAGGGTCCCCTCACCTTGAAATTCTGTTCTCCTGTGCATGGCATTGGAGGCCTTGCCACTCACGCTGAACAATTGGCCATCTCTCCACAGCGTGCCTCTTTGTTCTGTGCATCTACATAACTCTCCTCTCTATTGGAATCCCCCTTCTATAACTGGCCTGGCGAATGCCGCCTCTTCCTCCTTGATATAGCTCTGTGAAACCTTCTTTAACCTCATAAAATTGACTTCTGTGCAGCTGTTGCTCCTATAAACATATATGTGTGCATGTGTATGTGTGTGTGTGTGTGTGTGTGTGATATGTATTGTATTAGTCAGTTTGGCATCTCTATAACGAAATATCTGACATAGACTATTTATTAAGTGAAGACAGGTTTACTTTAACTCATGGTTCTGGAGGTTCACATCCAAGACTGGGCAGTTCCATTGGTTGGCTGCTGGTGAGGGATGGCAATGGTAGAAACCCACAGCATTCATGTCTGAGCCAGGAAGCAGATGGAGATTAAGAGACCCGGGTGCCATAACCTCCTTTAAAGGCAGGCCCACAGTGACCTGAGGACTTTTCACAGGTTCTCCTCTGAAAGGTCCATAGCATCTACCACTGCTGCCACACTGGGGACTGAGCTTTTTCAGATGGAACTTTGAGGGATACATATCCAAACTATAGCATGAATTAATTTACATGTTTATTATTCCATTTTGTGTGACAGATTTGAATGCAGGGCTGTGTCTTCTAACTTCAGCATGAATCATAAGGTGGATTATGATTTGCAAGGTCACTGGCATAGAGTCAGTTTTCAGTAAAACCTGTCCAGGTGAGACTGGGCTATAGTTGAGTCATTCAGAGGTCCTGATCCCACTGCATTAGACCTCAGAGAACAGGTCTCCACCTCTGCAGTGAAATAGCTCCTGGAGCCCATGAATGTGGACCTCTTGCTCCCAGAGCTGGCTGTTCTCCCAATCAGTATCTTCCATTCCATCTCTAGATGGGGTTTCAAATTCCACCTTGGCTCTGTTTCCGCTCCTCAGAGCTTATTTCCGTTTTTCTGCATCCCTCATAATATGTCCTATCCCAAACTGAATATAAAATTCCAGATATGATCAGACCAATGCTATCCCCTTTCTCATTTTATACTCTACATTTCATTGAATACATAAAATCAAAGTTGTCTTTTGGAGGGTTGGGTCATACTCCTACATTTTATTAGTATTCACTGTTTATCAGAGCCTAAAATCCTCTCATATTTTCTGCTTCTAAGCTTTCTGCATACATATACACTTGAACTTTTTGATCCAAAGAGAAGAGTTTACATATACTCCTGTCAAATTTCATCTTTTGAAGCTCAGATGCCATTCAGAGTTTCAGGGATCGATTAGGCTCTTGATGCTATCATTGCACCTCTGCTGTCTTTCCCATCTACACATCTTTGGATAGCTCATGAACCTGTGTTCGGTTATCTTCATTGAAGGCACTGAAACAAAGGTTGAGGAGGACTGAGATGGGAACAAAGCACTCCAGGATGACAGTGACCCAGGTAGCATCATTCTCTCAGTATACCTATTACATGGATTCTGTCAGTATCTAGCATAAATTTCTTGACTACTTGTTTTCAAGTCCTTTATGAAATTTAGATAAAAAACTTGTTCTTAATGAATCCATACCATGTCCTGGTGATTGCAGGTGATTCTGCTCTTTTAGTAAGCAATTCTAGATTCTTTAATGAGACTGTTAACAAACTTACTGGGCTACAGATTTCTGAAATTACATATTTCACCTTTCAAAGTAGAAACATCCACCTACTTACCTTTCTTATTCTTTAAGTTATTTAAAAAACATTGTTTGTAGATTAAAAAATTCTTTTGCAGATTTTCTCATGACCTGAATTATAATTAACCCAATTCAGCTATTGATCTTTTTTCAACCTTCAATCTTGTTCTTATCTGTGGTTTCCCTTTGTCACATTTTTGCTCACGTGAAATCTTCCACTGGGAATAGGTAGCCTCCCTCTCTGCTGCTATCTATCCAGATCCTGTCCTTATTTGGGACATGTTTTACACAGGAGAGCATCAATGGAGCTTCCCAGGGGACCTCTGTCACATGCTATCTCCCTTTGCTCTGAACTTTGACCCACTCATGGAGCTTACTATTTATGGTAAGAATTTATTATATAGCAACTCCCTATTGCTGCTGTCATTGTGGCTGATTTATTATGTAGCTTCTAAGTCTGAGGGTCAATGGCATTAAGTTATAAGGATTCTATTCTTTCCTAGAGATGAAGGTGGCCATGGGAGGAAGGCAATTAGAAATTGGTTACCTCTTTTATATAAAAAAACTACTATTTGCCCTCCTACTCTAACTGGTGATATTACCAGATCTTTCCCAGCCATTAACCTAAATTGCTGGCTGGGGTTAGAGATGCAGCTTATGGCCATGGAACAGAAAGAAACTTATGGAGAATTTAAATCCTGCTCTTGACCTTATTAATACCACACTTCCAACAATAAAGAAGCAATGCCAACAGTTAATCCAATCCACAGGTGAAAGGATACTCCAATGTGCCTTCAGTTCTTCAATTTTTTTCAGGGATTCTTGAACTTCCTTCCAGACTTGCTCATCGCCAGTTAGCATATCAGCATCCTGCTCAAGCCAAATTAAAAGAGAGCAAAGAAAAACAATCCAATTAAAAAATGGGGAAATAACTGCACAGACATTTCTCCAAAGAAGATATACAAATGGCCTACAAGCACAAGAAAAGATGCTTCACATCATTAGTCATCAGGGAAATACAAATCAAAACCACAGTGAGATATTATTTTACACCTGCTAACAGTTACAATCAAAAAGATAACAGGGAATAACTATCAGTAAGGATGTACAGAACTGAAAGGCTCATACACTGCTTGTGGCAATACAAAATGGTACAGCTTTGAAAAACAGTCTTTTTAGTCCTCAAAAGATTAAACACAGAGTTACCAGATTACCAGTTAGTTACTACATTAACAATTCCACTCCTAGATTTATAACAAAGAGAAATGAAAACATACATTCACAAACGTTCACAGTGACATTGTTCATAAAAGCTGAAGTAGAAACAATTCCAATTTCCATCAATTGATGGATGGATAAATAAATAAAATATTCATACAATGGAATATTATCCCACAATAAAATAAATGAGAGACTAGTACATGCTACAATATGGATGGACCTTGAAAACATTATACTAATAAAAGAAGGCAATCAAAAAAAGACCATATGTTGTATAATTCCATTTATATGAAATGTCCAAAAGAGGCAAATCCACAGAGACAGAAAGTAGATTAGTGGTTGCACAGGGTGAGGACATAGCAGGAACTGGGGAGTGACTGCTAATGGGTAAGTTTTCCCTTTTGGGATAATAAAAAAAGGTTCTAAAATTGACTGTGATATTGATTGCATAACTCTGTAGAAAGACGAAAAACCATTGAATTGCATGCTTTAAACTTAGTGAATTGTATTATATGTGGATTATCTCTTAATAAAACTGTGATTTTTAAAAAACCTAAAGGGAAAAGAGGTAAGAAAAAGAATTATTTGCTAGGGGGCCTTCAGATAGCACTTTCATTAAGTCTGTTATCAAGCAAGCTAGGATATAGGAAGATACATAAACTAGATCCATGTAAACCAATTCCAAGTTCCATAAAAACTAAAAACAAAACAAACAACCTTCCTTAAAAAAGCAATCAAAATAAAAATTTTAGTTTTTATTAAATGCCTACTCTCCCACTTGGTAAGGAGGTCTTCTATTTTTCTGTTTGCCATTGTATCTCCAGTATCTAGCACAGTGCTGAGCATAAGGCAGGTGTTCAATCAATACCTGTTGAGTAAATGACCAAAAAATATGTGTAATGGTACCAGTACTTTACTAATATTGTTCCATTTTATCTTCACATAATTCTCTTATGTATATAAGATCATTCCTGATGCAATTACACAGGTGGGGAATGGGCACAGGGTACCCCAGGTCAGGCAATGAGAGGGTACCAAGTCTTTAGAATGTTAAGAAATAAAAATAAAACCAACAGAAGGTAGATCTGATTTTTACCACCATTTAATAACTCCAAACAACTTAGAGGTAAAATATTCTTCCCCACCAGGTCAGAGGGCATCTGCTATTCCCTTCCCTGATATTACACTAAATTTGAAAACCAGATTCAGAGAGATTATGTGACTTGCCCCAAACTCACAAGCATGGAGCCAACACTTAAAAACCAGGTCTGTTTGATTCTGAAAGGCTGTGTTCCTGTCACATACATGGCTACTTCTTGTAGACATCATTATGAACTCCTTATCATGTTTGGCAAGTCTTATTCTTGGAAATAAATATTCGGCAAGTCTTATTCTTGGAAACAAAAAAGTTGGAAAGCTGTACTATCCAACATAGTAGCTACAAGTGGCTATTACATTTTTTAAAAATATTTTTTTTTAGTTGCAGATGGACATGATACCTTTATTTTATTTATTTATTTTTATATGGTGCTGAGGATTGAACCTAATGCCTCACACATGCTAGGCAAGTGTTTTACCACTGAGCTATGGCCCCAACCTACTATTTAAATTTAGGTTAGTCCCATTAAATACAATAAAAAGTCCAGCCCCTAAATTGTCCCAGCCACATTTCAAGAGTTCAACAGCTACAAGTGTTATGATAACCACATTGGACAGCACAGATATTGGGCAGTGCTGTTACCGTGGGGAGTTCTGATGGACAACACTACTTTCAATGTTACTCAAAAAGCAGGAAATGCTCAACAGATACTATTCAATCCAGATGTTCCATGTCCACATGATTTCACGGGAGTCAGGAAGGAGAACCACCCTAGGAAGTTGAATCATGGCCAGTGTGGGGTGATAGGAAAGGTGAAGGAGGACATTTTTCACATTACATGCATTTCCCTAGAGATCCTGAATGTGCCTACTGGGGGGACAGAATGGTCTCTGTGAGAGCACTGCCAGAGGAAGTCTGTGTTGCTAGTGGAGAGATACAAATCCCTCGGGTGTATTGAGACAGGGGAGAAAAAACAGGTCACTGAGAACCACAGAAGTGAGATCCCAATAGTAGGCGAGGCAGTAGCTGTACACATAAGGAGATGTGAGTGTTGTTGAGTGTGCCTATGAACCTGGGCTTTATGGCCTCTATGCATGTGTGCTAAACACAGACAAAACACAATAAAGTAGTTTTTAAAAAGATACCGTAAGTACATCTTACTTCTAGGAAATTCTAAATCCATACTTAGCTTTTTATACATAGAAAGGCAAAGGTAATCAAATGTCTTTGAGAAAGGAGGTATCAGTCTCCCTCTGAATCCCCACTCAAAGCCAATTTAGTGTCCGTTTGATCACCCTGTTCTCCTTACTCAACAATCACAGTCGTTCATAATTAAATGTTCCCATTTTATATTTTGTTACTGGCAGTCAAAACCTTAGGCTCTAGGGAAAATATCTTATTCAAAGGAAAGCCAGCCCCATTGACACCTTGATTCTGACCCAGTGAGACTTGTGTCAGGCTTCTGGCCCACAGAAATGTAAAATAATACATTTGTATTGTTTAAGCACCAAATTCAAGATCATTTGACAGAACAGCATCAAAAATCTAAATACAGGCTCTAACATACCTTCTGTACTACTTCTAACCATTGGAATTTCACACCTATCCCTCTCTGTAATTGAAATTAGTTAATTCGATCATTTATTTCATTAACATTTACTAAGAGCCTACTGTTGTAGGCAATGGGATGGGCAGTAAAGAATCAGTCATGGTGTTTACACTGAAGAGATAAAAGGAACACAGGTGACAGAAAACACACACATACACACACACTCACAAACATATTAATTATGGCAAAGAAAAAATACCAAATGGGGAAGATGGATCAAGATTAATAGCCCCCAGGAATTTGTAAACAGAGTGATCAGGCAAAGTCTCACTGAGAAGATGATATGTGAGTATAGCTCTGCAGGAGGTGAATGAGTAGGAGATAAGAGGCCTGGAGAGAGGGGACAGAGTGCAGTGCTAAGGCAGGAACAAGCTTGAATGTTCCAAGAACAGCATGGAGGCCAATGTGGCCGGAGCTGGTGGGTTGCAGTCACAGGCATTCCTATCTTCCCCACTTCAGTGTAAGCTCTCTAAGCTAAATATAGGCCTTATTCTTCTTTGCTTCTGCCAAATACCTAGCAAAGTGCTTCGTGTGTAACAAATGCCTAGCTAAATGTCTATAGAATCAATATGGAAGAAGAAAACATATATTTGGTAATTACTTGGAGGTCTCTCATATGTATCTCAATTATTCACAACATTGTTGGAGTGTATTGATCCCTATAACTTACATATAAGGCACAAGATAGTCCTGAAGCTTAAGAAAAAACTGGTCCAGTTGTCCTTCTATGCCTAACTGCCAGAGGCAGAATTCAAAGCAGCCAGGTTGGCTGGCTCTAAGCCCATGGCCTCTCCACAAGATTATTTTTATGCAATTTCATTTGTTTTTCTCTGGGGCTTACTTAGAAGGTGAAACCTGTATCTTTTGAGTTAATAAATTCAAAATATGGGGCTGTGGTTGTGGCTCAGTGATGGAGAGCTTGCCTAGCATGTGTGAGGCCCTGGGTTCCATTCTTAGCACCACATAAAATAAAATAAAGCTATTGTGTCCATCTACAACTAAAATAATAACAATTAAAAAAATAAATTCAAAATATCTTTAACTATGGTCCCTAAGATCTTCCTGGCACTAGCACTTCAAAAAGGACGGTAAGATCCCCTAACATGTCATCTCCTGGCAAATCTCATATTTGTCCACCAAGCAGGGTGAACCCATGGCTCAGAACAATTTCATACGGGAATTATATTCACAACTAAATCTGCTACCAGTGAACATAATCTGATTAGCTGTTCTTTGGGGTTGACCCTAAGCCTTTATTTACTTAACAGAAGAGCAAGCAGGCTTTGAAATTGCTTTCAAACACTCAGAAACAAACTGTAGCTAGACAAAACTACTCTCACTGCCAACCATCAGCTCCCTGGAGTGCTCCTCTATGGTAAATGTCCTTGCAAACTCAGGTCCAACCTCCCCACCCCAGGGGCTCCTCACATCTCTGCCTGTGTTGGGGTCTGTCTCACCTCTCCCCACACCAAGCTGGAGGAGGACATTCAGCTACATATGTATATGAGCAGGACATGTACACATAAATAGAACAATTACTCAGGGAAACATAATTTAAATCTACTTTTCAATTTGCAAATAAAAGAGTTAATTAATATGTTCTTTTTCATAGTCTCTGAGTTATAAAATTAGTAGATGTATGTCCTTGTTTCCATTATTTCTTATCTAAAGACATCAAAGACACTTGCTATCCTTCAGGTCAAAGTTATTTTAGGAAAAAAATCCTCTTTGAATTTCAGCTTTACTAATAAATATAAAAGATTCTTGAACAGGTCAGTCCTGTGGTTTGTCTTTAGAAAGTGGAAAACATTCATTTTATACTTACTTTTTTAAAAAATTTTTTTATTCTACTGTGTTATATATGACAGCAGAATGCATTACAATTCATATTATACATATAGAACACAATTGTTCATATCTCTGGTTGTATACAAAGTATAT